ACTGGAGGTGCTGTGCCCCACAACTGGTGACAGTCTCACTGAGTTTTTCTTGGTAGGTAGATCACTGGAGGAGATAGATCTGCAGCCTTCACCACTCTGCTAAGAATTTTTAAACAAATAGCATTAACAATATATGCACAGAAGGGGCAGTGATGAAAGAGCAGTAAACTTTTTTTGCCATATTAGAATATGTTCAAGGACCCTGGTACTGCTGTCAGCTAACCCTCAAGGATGGTAGTTTAAACCCACCAGCCACTATGAGGAAGGCAAATGAGGCTCTCTGCTCCCATGGAGACTTACAGCCTCAGAAATCCTACACAAAGTCACTAGGACTCAGAACTGATTCGATAGCAGTCGTGTTTGGTTAGAATATGTTCTCCCGGTTTGCTTGGCCCAAGCTGAAATAACACACTCTAACAACGATGTAAGAAATGATATTTGCAACAGGAAAAGAAAACCCAACCAAACCTACTGTCATCAAGTGGATTTCAACTCCTAGTCACCCTATAGGGCAAAGTATAACAGAAATTTGGGGAACTGCAAATCTTTATAGTAGCCAGCAATTTATCTTTCTCCCACAGAGCAAGGGTTGGGTTTGAACTACAGATATTACAGCTAGCAGCTGAATGCTTAGCTACTGCGGCACAAGGGCTCCCTGTGCCTCAGAAAGTGGCCCATTTAATCAAGCCAGTCTAGTCCAAAATTGCCTGGTCAAACAATGGACAGCATCTTCTGCTGGGACCATCCTCTGTGGGTGTGACGGCGCTTATGAAACAGGGTAGTGAAAGTTGTTGTATTTCAGCTGTGTGGTATCTACTCATCTGACTTCAGCAACAGTCCCTAATTGTCATGTGAAGATAGATAAATAAATAAAACCTTCCAGCATTCCTAGTCCACGTGGTTCAGGTAGAATCCGATTATCTGGAGCCAGTAAGGGAGGCCTCCGTCCGTCAACTCATTCCAAACCATCTCTCCAGCCATAATGACTGGTTCAGAAACATACATTTTAGGACTCTAAATTGGCTCAAGTAGAATAGTGGAACCATTGTAAAATGAATATTCCCTAACCACTAGACCAGAACTAGAAAGTCTACAAACCAGGAGTCTCTGTGAACAACATCTGAAGGCTGAGAAACTCACCAAGAGCGGACAGATTTAGAGTTGATGAAAGAGCAACGTGTATTCTAACAAGAATGTCCTTTCTACCCATTCCTGGCTGGTCTTTAATTGTGTAGGGCAATTAGAACTCGGATTGGAGAGGAGAGACCATTTTAAGATCATGCAGCCTTTGGGAGCACTGGGCAGGGTTTCTAGATTCTGTGAGAGTAGAAATTGTAACCACAGAGAGTGCAACTGTAGCTTAGCAATGAGATACCTAACTCATTGTGAGCTGCCTAACTCTACCAACAGATTTGGAAATTTTCAAAAATTTGCCCATGAAAATTCCTGAGAGAGAAAACCCATCCTACTTTCAACAGGGACCCCACCTATGAAAATCACAGCAAATCTTTAATAAGTACCTACTATGTGCCAAGTAGGTCTGAGAAGTTTTGCAGGCATTTTCTTATTTAATTCTCACAAAACCCCTATGAAGTAGATCATTCTGATCTCCATTTTACAGGGAAACGGGAAGCCCCTGGCCACACTGAAACTAGCAAGGCCAGGCTTTGAACCTCAATCTGTTTTGCTACAAATCATCATATTTGCTTTAATCAAATACTTAAAATTGCAACTATCTTTGGGACCAAACAAGTTGAGCACAGTAAATGTGTGGAGTGGTTCCGTTTTAATATTATAATGCTATGGTTCTCAACTTTGTGAGTTGGCAGTATCTGGGGAGTACTAAAGATTCCCGAGTTATACTCCCATAATTGCGAGTTAATTCATCTGGGGGCTCACCAGATGATTCTGATGGGCAGTCAAGGCCAAGAACCACTGAGTGTAGACACAGAGAAATGGTGCACGACTCACTTGAAAGCAATTTTTAAAATTAAAGGTCAAATTAAAATTGTTGGTCAGACAAAGGTTGTTACTCCCTCTGACACAAGTATGTGACATCTGTCCCACTCTTCAGGTATAGTGAGGAATGATATACTGTGTGAAAGAAAGTCACTCAGACCAAGTACAGTATGAGAAAGATAGTCAGACATTGACACAGAGAGAGAGAAGATACTTGTTATCAGAGATGGCATTGGCAAGTCTAGAGGCAGGCTGTTCAATGTAGGACTCGACCACAATGGATTGGTTTTGAGGGGTTTTTGTTGTTGTGTTTCTTCTTCCTACAACAAGAGGCACTTGGGGTGAGCAGTAACCTACTTTCAAACTAAGCTCTGTATACCACCCATTCCTCAACTGATGATGACCTAAATATGCTAACTTAATAAATGCATACCTATAAGACCAATGGGGCCAAAGTTGCTCATAATGAACTCTGATTTTAATTCAAGCCAGGCCAAGAAATGTTGTCTGACTAACAGGTCTTCAGAATGAGCAGCCCGCTGCCTTATCTTTCCAGGTGGCGTGCACCCTGCTGTGTAAAATGCTACTTGCTAACACAAAGGGGGAGCGAAAACCACATAGCACCAGGACATAATTATCAAATGGCTCCAAGGCAGTAGCGAACCTGATAATCCCATTCTAAAACACGTATCCTCATTGGGGAATAGTCTTCATGAATGACCAGGTTGTAACTGTTGCAGCATCATAAATCAGGCAGAAAGGGCCAAAGAGCAAATGAAGAAATGAACTTCAAGGCCACTCATTCAAACTGGCTTAGCACATATTTGTCTCTAACTGCAAAGCAAATGCTGTGCACTTTACTGCCCCTGTGTTGCCACTTCCGACCACTCCCTCCCCACAGTTTCCCCTTCACTAATAACAGTGGCCATTGAGTCCAATGACTCAGGGTGACCCTACATATCAAAGTGCAGCTGTCCTGGACATGGTTTCCAGAGGGATGATTTTTCCGAAGTAGGCTGCCACAGGCAGTTCTTCCGAGGCACTCATGAGTGGACTAGATCCATTAACCTCCTCTCTCACAGCCACGTCTGTTCACCAGGGACTCTTCCCAGGCCACCCGCAACCCTGGCCCTACCATCATCATAAAATGAATGGGGGGGTGGTGGGGGTGGTGGAGGGCAATGAACTTGACATTGATTTTCAAATAAAGAGGCTGACTCGGAAATGAAGACCTCAGTCAAGTCCTAACACTAGCAGTTGAGACAAGTTGCTATTTGGGTTCTTCCGTTTTTTTGTTGTTTTGTTTTTGCTTTTTAATGGTTTTGCTTTCTTAGGTTTTCCCAAGCAGAGAGCAGAGGAAAGTGCGTGGGAGAGTGGTAGTTGTTTACTGAGTACTGTGTATCGATCCTCTCCTGAATGCCAGGTGCTGTCTGTGTGGTATTGAGGACACACTGGTGACCACAACAGCACCCACTCTCCTGGGTGCCTCAAGTAAGAGACCAATGCACACAACCTCTTGTACTGCACCCACATCCGGGGAAACCCAGTCCTGATAGTTTAGTGTTAGACAACAAACTCTTTCTTTGGTCTACCTGCACTGAACCTCACAAGGAAGCCGCTGGCCTCTTACACCGTTCTCAAACCAAAGGGGTAGTTCAACAAGGCAAATATAAGCGACGTGAATAAATTTCAAGCACTTTAAAGAAAAGAAAATTAACCTAAGATTACCAAAATAGGTTTTCCTCTTGAACCAAGCCCAGCTTGCCTGAAGCTATGCAGCTTTAGAACACTAAAAATACTTCCCTTTCTGCTAAATTGGGGAAAGCGAAAAAGAACAAGCAATTGGCTGCGGTGTATCATTTTTGCTCGCCCTAAATATTTTACTCCCAAACACTCAGAATAGCTGGAGCAAGGAGAAAGCATCTGTTTTAAATCTGTATGACCATGCAGGCAAATACGCCCAACCAACTGATATTGTAATATGAAATAAGCTATCGCTACATTATCAACAAACTGTCAGCACTTCCAAAATGTACAGCTTTACTGTATTTCTATCTTCCTTCTTCCTGTCCCACTCTGTCTGTCTTTTTGTGGTCTACAGGAGGGTGGTGGACACCCTGAAAACTAGCCTAAGCACAAAAAGCAGCTTCAAAATGCCGTGAAGACGACAGCCATGCCCTTAACAGCACCACACTGAGCTTACTTCGTGTTCATACATCATTTATGCTTCTGAGATTTGCAGTAAATGAGAGTCTACAACAGAAGGTTATCCGCTTCAAGTCTTTCCACTTATCTTCTGCTCCAGTTGTGTTTGTTGCCTCTGACAAAGTGAAAAATCGTGTTTTTCCTCCAACTTCCCATGGTTAATTGGCTAAAGCACACGCTCACAGCCTTCTGATGAACTCAAAACTACTCAGAAAGGCAAATAGACCTTCTTTTGTGGGGAGCAAAGCTGCAGATGGTGAACAGTAAGTAGTCTGTGGACTATTACAACACAGGCAACATGCCTAAGGTGGCCCTGCTGAGTTAACAGGACAAGAACTCAGGTCTGGGTTCCATTGCACAGGCTCATCCCTTTGAGCTGCGGGATGACAGCGTAAGTTTTCCTTCCGGAGAAATCTCTAAGACCTTCATTTCTCAGGCGACTGGCAAAATCCATTGGAAACCGAACACCCAGACCCCATGAGCGCTGCCCCCCAGGGCAGGATGCACAGAGCGGCCAGAAGGCTGCTGCGGAGCGCCGCCAGACCCAGCTGGGCCTTTGACAAGTGGTCCCCAAGAGGGGCTGCGCGTCCCCGCCCACCCAACGCTGGGCGGCCCCGGGAGCCGGGGCGATCCATTTCAAACGTAACCGCCAGGAGGACGAGGATGTCCACTCCCCAGAGACTGGGGGGTCGGCAGCCCTGCCTCGCTGGCCCGAAGCCCCCGCAGGTCAGAAGTGGCACCCGTGGTGCCAACGGCTCCCCAGAGGCACTTTTGCAGGCGGGGCGGGAGGCGCGGGCCAAAGTTGGCCACGGGCCGCGCAGGTCCCGTTCCCGTACCTTGTAACTGGGCGGACAGGGACTCCTGGTGCTGCTGGTACTTGAGCGCCACCGCCTCGGCTTTGCGCAGCTGCGCCTGCAGCTCGTAGTAGAGCATCGCGCCGTACAGAAAGCCCACCACCACGGTCAGCAGCAGCAGCGTCTGGAAGATCCGCTTTTGCTTTCGGGAGCACATCCCGTTGCCCATCGTCGCGCCTGGAGCGCGCGCCGCGGGCGCCCGGGCCGCCCC